GCCCAGCAGCCCAGCAGCCCAGCAGCCCAGCAGCCCAGCAGCCCAGCTCTGATGGGCTGGTCTCAGCTAGAAGTAGTTGATGACCCTCCGGATGGACTGGACGTTTGCACTGAAGCCCTGCCATGCTCGGAAGTTGCTGAACTCGCCCCGCTCCACCACATACATGCGGCCACGATAGTTGGGCTCCTCGTAAAGCACCCACCTGAGCAAGAAGGAAAGATTAATGGTGTTCCCACGGCTGGGTGATGCCAGCCCCAAAGCCCAGAGCAGAGGCTTCCCCCTTCATGTCGCTGTAAGGATGGTGTGTTTATGGTGGAACGTGACCTTGCTGATCTTCACAGCACGCAACAAAACAAATCCACAGCACTGGTGGCAGAGCAGTGGAACAGACTGCTCAGGAAAGCTGTGGAGTCTCCATCTCTGGAGATATTCAAGACCTGCCTGCGATGCCTTCCTGTGTAACCTACTGCAGGAAACCTGCTTTAGTGAGGAGTTGGACAGGATGATCTCCAGAGGTCCCTTCCAACCCCTATGATTCTGTGGTTCTGTGATTCTATGATTTGGTAGCGCTACAGAGGGATCTGAGTCCCCTCAGCCCCATTCTGGACTAAAAGCAGAAATGTCCTCGCTGCAACTCATGAAATGCATTTTACCTCCTAGAGTGAGTCTTTAGTCATGAGGGGAACCATACCTTTATCTGTACTTAATACATCCTCTTTTTTCCAGCAATTCTCAGCAACCCTTCTGACATTTCCTAGCAGGCACAGATTTGGGTTCTGTTTTATTCCCCTTATCTCTTATCTCAGCAGCTCACGTTGTTGCTCTTCTCTCTCTTCACCTTAATATGCACTGTGCCATGGTCTCAGTGCAGCAACAGCTACCAGCTCTGTCCTCTGTTCACATCTCCCATGCTTGTTGACCAGGCTTTGCCATTGCTCTGACACTTCCACGTTCAGGTTTCACTGCTGAACTTTTCATCTCTGCCTCATTCTTCTTAAATCAGAGGTCACGGTTACTCGCCCCACCTATGGGCTCAGCAATGACAGCAGAGCACGACTTTAATCTCCCAAATTATCCCAAATCAGTTGGTTTTTGTGGCCCATCTCTCACCAGACATCCAGCAGTGACAATTTGGTTAGGACCTACTGCTTGTGGGAAGAATTCCTTTAAGCACAGCACGGGGCAGTGACTGCTGCAGGGTCAGCCAACAGCTGGCGAGTTCAGAGCAGCCTGACCCAGAGCAAAAAGCTGCATCTGTAGGAAAAACATTCATTTGTAAAGCCAACCACCCGTGAGCACTGTAATACAAAAGCTGGGAGCATTCAGCTGAGCCACCCCAAGGACTGCTGGGTGTGTTTGGGCTGATGTGCACTATTGGGATGCCTCCAGGTGGGTCTCAGCTCCATCTGTCCGCACAGCACCGGCTGCCTGCCTGGTCCCACTGCACTGCTGGCACAGCTGCGGTCTGCAAGCATGCAGCATTGCCAAAGAGTGCTTGGCCAAACAGCTGGCTCTGGGGTGTTTCCTACAAATGAACAAGCTCATCCTCCAGTACTTTTTGCAGCCAGTTTCTATCCAAAAGGAGATGACAAAGCCCTGCACAGGCTTTCCTCCAGGTTCGCTTCACGGCGCTGCTCACACAGCTGTAGGGCAGGGTGCCCCAGATCTCCATGCCCTCGTCGTGTATCCCAATGTGCACTCTTGGAGAGGTTGCTGAGCTCTTCACATTAATTAAGAGCGATGTATAACATCATTATCCTCCTCTGAACACACCCCAGCCTCGTGCATAATGCACACATGGATTTCTTCCTTTTCTACCCCATCCCATCAACTTATTTCTCTGAGTATGGAACGGAATCATAGGCCAAGTTGGAAGGGACCCGTCAGGATCGCTTGTTCCTCCACCTAGGGGAAGGCTGTGAAAAAAAGGGAGCACAAAGAACACCAGAAAGATGGGACTGAGGCATATTGGTCACACAAGGTGACGAGTGAGGACTTGTGTGCTTACTTAGCCCTTCCTTTATTTCATAGCATCTCAGAATCATTTCAGTTGGAAGGGATTTTTCAAGGTCATCTGCTCCAAATCCCCTGCAATGAACAAGGACAGCACCAGCCCTTCTGCTGCAGAGGGGCCATCATCATGGTGGGATGTGCTGTGTTGGTTCCTCTGGTGACGGATCCTGAAGAAAGCTGGATGGCCAAAGACAGTTCCCATTGAGCAGGTGCAGCTAAAGGGACAGGGACACCTCAGAACTGCCCCACAACAGCACTTCCATTTGAGAACTGCTTCCACGGCTTCATCAGCACCATTTCTGTCTGCTTGTCCTCAATCCCAAAAGAAAAGCCCTAAGACATGCAATGCCAAAGGCATAGAAAGCCTTCAAAAAGTCCCATCACATGAACATAAGCAGGCAAACATCTACACTCACATGCGAGGGAAAGAAAGTTTTGTGGCCCTTATTGGAAGGAGGGGGAAATCAATCCGAAAAATTCAAGTGCTTGAAAGTTTCTGGGCCGCATCCCAATTTCTCCGACTCCGGTCTCTGCTACAGGGACACATATGGTGAATCATTGGTCCCAAAGCTCTCATGGGCTCTTGGCTTTATGGCACCAGTCCTCCCCATGGTGCAGGGCCCCTGCTGGGCTCTGGCTGCTCTTCCCTCCAGAGCTCCTGATGGTAACAAACCAACACTGTTAGTGGGCAATGAAGACATCTGGTGTTCCAGAACCGTGGAACTGTGGCACTGGGGGACGTGGTTATCGGGCATGGTGGGATGGAGTGGGAGTTGGTGATCTCAGGGTCTTTTCCAGCCATAACGGTTCTGTGATTCTATGATTCTAAGCCTGGTTGGTTGGTTTTTTTCTTTTTCTTCTTTTTATGAAATGGAAAGGTCTTCTGTTGAATCAAAACAAGCTCCACAGCACACCTGGTGTTGGGATGTTGCAGTCTTGGAGTGCAGCACAGTTCTTCCTGTTCTGCAACGCCCAGCATCTCATGAGATGTGCAAATACAGCAAGACAGGCGAAATGTAACGGCACTGGGGCACTCTGCCACCCAACAGCTGGAACAAGGCAGAGCTGCTGCCCTGCAGAAGTGTTTGGGAATTCCGTGGGGCAGAAGGATGGGGCAATGCATCCACAAAGCAGCTTCACACGGCACCAAAGTCTCCACAGGGGGATCCCAGCATCCCACCTCCTCACCACAGCAGCTGCTGTTGTCTTTAAGAAAAAGGGTCTAATGTGAAGGCGAGGTGTTGCTGCCTCACATTTGCTGTCCAAGGAGGAGGTTTCTGGTGTCGTGGGAAGCCCTGGGGAAGCCACTTAGAAGGCGAAAGCCCTGACTGCAGTGCCCAGCAGGTTTCACGTGGGCTTTAAAAAGGTGTTTGGAAAACACAAGGAAATGTGAAAGGAAAAGAGAAAAAGGGAAGGGATGGGCCGAGTGTTGGGTTGCACACCCCTTGGATGCATCTCCAAGTTCGTGCAGCTTGTGCTTAGCTTCTACCCTCCTGAAATCATACCCTATGATTTCATACTCATACTAGAGCTGCTCTCATTCTGCCCTCAGTTTCAGAAGCACCAAAATCCCCGGTGCTTCTGACCACAGCCTTGGCCAGGCTTGTAGGCTCCCCAGTTCCCATTAGCTGTAGCACACTGTGGGTACTCACGCGCCATCACCGTACACCCTGATGGCGTTGACGTGGGGCTGCTCCCAGCCCCGGCCCTGCAGACAAGAGCAGTCCTCAGTGAGCTCCATGCTGCGGCCTCCAAAGCAGCTCCCTTCAAACAGCTGGATGCGGTAGTGCTGCCCGTGCTGGGGACAACGGGGCCGAGTCAGTAACAACACCAAAAAATAAAAGCCACAGAGAATTACATCCCCCAGAGCACTCGCTGATATCCCCTGGGGAAATGAGAAGGCGTGAGGAGCTGCGGGCTGAGCACTCGGGGCGCATCCCATAGCAGAGGGATCAGCACCAGGAGACCCGTGTGCTGCAACCCAGCTGAAGAGCCCTCAGTCCAACCCTGGCACCCCCTGGGATGCACGCTCCCGTCCCCCCACGAGCATCCCCTGCCTCTTGAAAACCACTGCAATAACCCCGTTGCCATTGAGTTTTACGCCCGGATTCGTATCTCCACCCCCTGGGGCAATCAGAGCTGCTCACCATGCCCACAGGTCTGCAGGAGCCCATGCGGTCGCCGCGGCCGTTCCAGCGCTGCCAGTGTGGGTACTCGCCGTGCTCCAGCACGAACTGCTGCCCGTGCAGCTCAGGGTGGTCAAAGCAGACCCAGGCCCCGCTCTGCACGCGGATGGAGTTGACACGGTTGGGGAAACCTCGCTGCTGGAAGCTGCTGCAGGTGCTGCACACCTCCAGCTTCCTGCCCGAGAAGCATTTCCCTTCGTAGAAAGTGATCTGGGGTGGGGAGGAGAGGGGGATGGAGGTGAGGATCTCAGTTGCAAGCCAATGGGAACCTCTCACCACTGCCTCATTTTGGGGTCAGCTTGGCTTTCGGTCTCTTTCCTAGCATGCAACCATCCCCTCACAAGCATTCTGGTGAGGCACTGGCACAGGTTGCAGAGAGAGGCGGTGGGTGCCCCATCCTTGGAGACACCCGAGGTCAGGCTGGACGGGGCTCTGAACACCTGATGGAGCTGTGGGTGCCCGTGTTCACTACAGGGGGGTTTGACCAGATGGCCTTTAAGAGTCCCATCCAACTCAAATCATTCTATGGTTTCCAACACGAAGATTCAAACACAAAGCCCTGCTCCCAACTGCACTCCCATCCCCACACCCTCCCCATCCCTGCTGTACTGAATCTGTACCTGAGTGGAACATCACCCAACCCTCACCCCACTGCAGCCCGTCCCAGCGTGAGGCCATACTTACTTTTCCTGAGTACTGAGACATTTCCTGATGGCTGCTCTCCAGGACTGTAAATCAGAAGCTGACCCAACCCCGCAGCACGCGAGGCTGCCCCGCTATATATGGGCCAGGCAGTGGGGCTGCTGCCACGGGGCTTTTGGGACAAAGCAGTGGGAGCTGGGGCTTTGCACAGCTGTGCTTAGTTGGCAGAATGGAGCCCAGGGCTGCTGAGCACAGGGTTTTGACTGGGGACAGGCAGTGAAACAATAGATTTGCTTGGCAGGGTTTTGGATGATTAGTGGTGCACATTTGCTGCTTCTTTTGGAAGGATTTCTTTTTAACATCACTATTTGGAACAGACAGCAATAAGAAGGCAGACTGGCAGCCTCAAAGCCCACCCAGTTACCATCCCTGCCGTGGGCTGCCTGCCCATCACCACCTCGGGCTGCCCAGGGCCCCATCCAACCTGGCCCTGAGCACCTCCAGGGATGGGGCACCCACAGCTCTCTGGGCAGCAATGCCAGCATTGCTGATGCTCAGTCGTGTGTTCCATTCCATTCTCATGGATTGAAGATACCTCTGCAAGGGTCTCTGCCTCTCCCCAGCTGTGAGAGAGAGAGATGCTGACCTCATCAAGAAGAGGTTGTGAGGTTTACCCAGCATTAGCAGCACGCTCAGAGGATGAGCAGTGCTGATTGCATAAGGACTAATTAGACCCTGCTGATTTCTCCTTGCAAAGCCAGAGCCCAGTGGCATTAATTAGCAGCATGAGCCCAGCAGGTCCTCGTGGATCAGTGCCTGCAGCACCTGCATGGGGCACAGAGACACAGGTGGGATCTCAGCCAACCCAGAGAACTTGCCATTTCCTTCCTGATTTCCCTTACAAGCTGTGCATCACTTAGCACAGCTCTTGGGAACCCCTGGTGGGATCAAGGCAGCTGCCACACAGTGCTCCCTGAATTCCAGGCAAGCTAGACAGAGTTCTTGCTTCTATATACATAACACTGGGCTACCAAGAGCACCAACCCATTTAGGGCTCTCATGCTGAAGAGCCAAACCCATGGAACACCTCAGTAAGCACAAAGGAGTGAGGCTACCCAGGATCCTCACTGCTGGAAGGTGCCTTCCACACACCTTGGGTTCCACTGAAGGTCAGGTTCTGAATCCTGAAAGTAAAGTTTTTCTACAAGTGCTAATTGTTCAGACAATTAACAGCCTGAGGACAACCCACAGAGATGAGCCTTGTCACATCTGCAGCATTTAGCACAGACTGAAAACCAAAAGCCAAGTCTAGCTGCAGAACCGCTGCAAGTATCCCTTCCATTTTATTCCTGCCAAGAATTAAAACTTTTCAATGGACTCAAATGTATGAGAAAACATTTAATAAACAATTAATAAAATATAAATAAAAAACAATTTAATAAACCTCTCCCTATATCAGCATCTTCTACACAAAATAGGCCAACTGCACTTTTTTTTCCTCAAATACCAAGTTCAAGTAGCTTGCCTCCAGACTGAAGAAGCTGCCCAAGACAGCTGGGAACAGGCCTTGGTGAAAGGCCAGGTGCTGGGAGCCCACATTCGCTGGATGCACGAGTACAGAAATGCATGATAAGCAACTCACATCTATTTGTTCGACGTGCAATTTATTTTAAACAACAGTTTTGTTTTCTTAGCAAGTTTAACTTGGCCAAATCCATTCCAACCCGAGTGCACAGCTGCATGTCAGCCTGTTCCTTGGAACAGATGCGTGCCCTCCAGCCTGCAGCTCTCACGGTCACACAGAGGAACAAGCAGTGCTGTTTGACAAAATCCAGCTGCTCCTCCACACCTTGCCCTGACACCCTTACTAAGGTGTCCCTTGCATCTCCTTTCTATAACCAGCACAAAATCCAGCTGAGTTATCCAGGCACCTTGGATGGGATTTCCTCCTAAGCCACTGCATGCTCCTCTTAAGGCCAACAGGTGAACACCTCACACAGAAACTGGCATGGGGCAACCACCACAAAGTTAAGGAGAACATGAAGGTTTGCAGCTATTTTATTTACAAGTATACATTTAACACAAAGAAACACTGATATCCAAGCCTAGTTAATAGTAGTGTAACAATATGCATCATTTTGATGATTATTCTAACCAACAAACTACACTGAAAAATTAATGCCAGTAAAATTCTTGGTCATAATATTAAGAAATACAATATATAAATTGAAAATATGATTGCTTAAAATTTGAAAATGGAAGTGAAGCCATTTGCACAGGAGTCAGAGTTTAACATAATCTGAAGGGAAAGGCTCCAAACCAACTGTGTATCTCTCAGGTTAACAGAAGAAAAAAAAAAAACCAAAAAAATAAAAAATTAAAAAAAAAAAAAAAAAAAAAAAAAAAGAAGCATAGTTTATCCTTGAAGATAAAGGGCAGTTTTGCTTCTTCAGGTAGAATGTATTCCCATTGTTTTCAGGCTTTGCAGTGGAATTACATTACTGAGCACGAAGACTTCCCTTGTGAAGCTGCCCCATCGATTTTTTCTGCCTCCAAAATTATCCTCTTAAAAACATCAACGGCGGTCTGCAAAGAGAGAGCACACGGTGAGCAGCAGGCAGGGCCAGCCAACAGGCAGCAGTGCTCAGCACTTTCACCCCCTGCACCAACACAGAATGCACCCCTGCACAGGGAAGCAGCAGATGCTGTCAGGCTGGGAGTCGCCTGCTGACGACGGCCCTCCACAATCCAAACAGGACCTGGAGGACGAGGCTCATCTGCCCTGTGCAGCACAACGCAAACGGGCAAATGAGATGGAAGGCAAAGCATGGGCAGGACCACAGCTGCCAGCAAACTGCTTCCACTAATGAAGAGTCGCCCTTAGTCACAAATAGGTGGTATACTGATTGACAAATAGGTGATGTACTCATTTACAAGTACGCTGTACTGATATTTCATTGCTTACAGCTGACATTTTAATGCACCAAGTCTTTCTATTCCTGCTTGAAAGCACCTACTATAAAAACCCACGCTTTATTCCAACAACCAAGCAGCTATATATTCACTGTCAAAGCCACGCTGCTGGGAACACTGAGATGTAGGAGTTCACAGGGCTGCTAATTCATTTCACAGGGAACATACATTCAGTGAGAAGCTTTAATCAGTGCCCTGCAGTTAACCCGTAGGAACTTGTAATTCAGCCCAAATATGCTGAAGGATTTTAGAATGAGCTTTTAAGCGACGCAGGAAACTGTTTTGCAACAAGGAATAAAGAACGCAGCCAGACTTTGTATGCATCTGTCTGCATATGGTGCAGTTACAGGATGTGGGTCACATCTAGCCTACAGAAAGCCATCTGCCTCCCTTCTACCTCCTTCCCTTGAGGAAGTGAAAGAGATGCCAGGCAAGGCAATGGGTGCTGCTGTGTGCGAGGCACCAGGAGGCTCAGTGCTCCTGCACACACACCCGTGGATGACAAAGGAACAGAGCCCAGGAGGTGCACAAATGGGAAGGTCTGAAGCCCTAAACCCAGCCCACAGCTGCTGCTCAGCTCCGTGCTGCTTTCCAAACACAACTGCTTGGTGATTTTGGAGAGGAAATTCTCTGCTGCTGCTACTGGTTGTTCTTGGCACAGAGCTGGGCAAAGGAACTCGAACAATAGTCAGGTAAGGAAGAGCATTTCCCCTCCCCCCAAATGCTCTCCCAGGGAAAGCACTCCCAAATCCCTGAGGGAGGAGAGGGGGGGAAGACTCCGAGCCCCTCTCAGCATCCTCACACACTGCACCTTTCAGGCTTGGATATGAAACTACTCTTGAAAAAGCAGCAACGTCCCAGAACTCATTTTCAGCAGAGTTGTTTTGGTGAGCAGTGGATTTTTTAAATTGTTTTTTATTTTTACTACTTCCTTCCCCCTTCTAAAATAAACCCTTCTAATGAATTCTGTGTAAGTGGATGGGCACATGAATGCTCATTACTCTCTGCCTTCAAGCAGGTTTAGGGACCAATCTGGGTTCTGGCTGTATTTCACACCATTAGCAATTTACTGTGCTGGGATTAAAGACAAAGCACTGCGCTGTGGCTCAGGGGAACGAAGCAACAAATTCCCCAAGAAAAGCCTGAATGAAGCTCCTGAAGTTAGCCCCATAGATACACAGCACTTCAACACATCCAGAAATAATCAAGCAGCTTGAGAAAACACAACAAGCACATCTAGGGCCCAGAGAAGGGATTTAATACCTGAACTCAGCTCCAGGTCAGAGCTCAGCAAGATGCGATCCTGTGTGCCTCGCATTTTGCTTACAAGATACACGATGTCCTTAAACACTTCCAGCTTGAAGTTGACTTTTAGAATGAACCAAAAACGCCCCCAAATACCCCAAATTCTTCTTGTAGGAAGCATTCACCCAATCTGGCCGATGATCTCCAACCAAGACTTAATTTAACCTGCATCTTTTCCTGGGCCCAGGATTGCCCTCTCAAAGTCCAGGGATCTCCCCAGGTGCTCAGTATGATGCACAAGCTCCAAAGCCTTAGCAGGCCACCAAAATCTAGAAGAGAGGACACAAAGCCTAAAGGAGATCAGACACGAGGTACCCTTACCAGCCCCTACCACTTACCCTCATGTCAGCTTAGATCTCCGAATAGATGGGAAGTAGGAGAGCCAAAGCCATGCCATTTCATCAGTATGGTGTCTTCTGACAACTCCCAGCAGAACAGGCCTGGTTGGATTAAGTTCATCTGCACAACCATTTGAGTTGCCTGCTGCAGCAGGGATTTGTTCCTAGGACTCCCACAGATGCTCCAAATAGTTTTTGGGTTTTTTTTGGGCAAAGCAGGAAGGGAGATGAGTCAATGCTTTCCCACCTCCTTTCACAGAGAGAGAGAGAAGCCTCTGCTAGAACTTCTAACAGGGAATGCCTCCTCTCCTCTTAGAGTTTAATTGAATTCCTTGCTAAGAGCTGCTATAAAGGACAGACCAAGTAGGTCAAACTGGAATCAGCCTACAGTCTCTCTGTAGGCTGCCCCACGTACCAAACCAATTTCAGACCAGCACACCACAGACTGCCATACTCCAGCTCCACATCCACCAAAAGCAGATAGATTTCAGAGACGAGACTTCTTTTATCCCTAGAACCTCACAGCTCCAGGCCTTATACCTTATACAAGCTCAATCATCCACCTCCTTCAGCAACTGTCTGCAGGAACATGAAGAGAGCTGCCCCACTCTGGGCTCCATTATGCTTTCTCACATACGTCCCACACATCCATGGAGCCCATCAGATGCCCACAGAGCAACACACCACCTCCTGAACATCTCAGGTCAGCCAGTTTCTAGGTGTATTACACACAAGACATGACCTTACTGCTGTACTGTAATGTCCACAGCAAGGAGGAGTTCTACCCCAGCACCAGTTGCCCATACGAATTTCAGCTAGCAGCTAACTTAATGCAGATACTCTGAGACCAAGGGACAGGCACAAATACATGGCAGTCAATGGGACTTTGTTAACACAGCAATTTAATATGCAAGGCATGCCAAGCATCATATAAAGCTTGTAGCTTCTTTGCATAAATATACACAGCTTTCCTTTTTTTCCTTTGAACCAAGACAATACACAATACAAACTTCACAAGAGTTATTAGTAAGATATTCTCTAAGATATGAATTACTACACTGTTACACACTGTGAACCACGTCCAAAAAAAGGACAAACAATGGCTCTGCCTATTCCAGAAGTACTGAGTTGTTTGAAAATAAATAATCTCATTCTTTTAA